CCCCCCCCCCCCCCCCCCCCCCAAACATAAGCTTGCGCTGAGAGCTGGTAATGAGAAGGAGGAGGGAGAGTCGGCGGACACAGTTGGTTGCTGCTCGCTACGTGTGGAGCACATCACCCTTCACGAGAAACTGGAAGGCAACGAGTGTGTGGTGGAATTTGACTTCCTGGGTAAAGACTCCATTCGCTACTACAACAAGGTCCCCGTCGTCAAGAAGGTAAAGGAGCAACGAGCCCCAAAAGCACCTCCACACTCGCATTCATCCCTGCTTTCATGTCTTTGAAAGTTTTATTCTGGAAATATTAAAGTTAATAAAAAAAGCAACTCCTTCTTCTGCTAACATCTGGGCCGTTCATTGCAGTACAAAACCAAAATAGTTAATTATGATAATCTAGGTTTTGCCCTTTGGGTTTTTGGCAGAAGTCCCTGCAGAGAAGGTCACTTGCATGCATATCGACATGCACTGAGCCTGCAGCAGAGAGGGAACTGAGGAATGTCCCCTGGGCACAGTTGTTAGATTGCATTCCTGTGGCTGTGCTGGTTTAATTTGTCTCTGCTCCAGTCTGCTGCTCTTGGATTATATGTTGGTGAATTGTTAACCCACAACTTCAGGTAACCTTGAGTTGGTCTGTGCACCTTAGCATCATAACATGGTTTGAATATTGCAGTCAAGCTTATACTCCCATAAGCAGTACTTTGTAGTGCTGTTGGAGTCATCAGTTCGTTCCCTTGTGTTAGACGGTCACTATGCAGCATCTCTTGTGCCACAGCTGCTGGCGACAGTTTGTCGAATCTAAGAATGCGGTTTATTCCTTTTCTTTCGTTGCCTCTCCTTGTTGTTCTGTAGTGTTAAATAGTTTTTAGGTGTTTTACATTGATGGTCAGAGGAAATAAGCTATTTTTTAAAGCAAAGTTTCTGCTGACGTAACTTATTTCTGGCATTTTAAGTTGGTTTTCACTTATGACAACGGAAGTCTCAGTCTGAGAGTGCATGTGACTAACTGATCCTTAGGAACAGCTTCACTGGAGTTAGACACAGACTCTTGAGTGTCACCGTGCACGTTTTACCTTCAAAGTAGTAACACAGGTGTAGTCTCACCCCAACCCCGATGACATCACAATGGCCACACAAGACATCAATACCACAGAATGCAACTCCTCAAGACGTATAAACCGAAGTCAGTGTTTTAAATGTGTCGAGTGCATCTTTGAGATCTGCAATACTGTTGCCCTTCAGAGGTGCTATTCAGTGTAAATATAGTTGGAACAGAAAGCTTTCAGTACAGTACAGGTTTAGGATGGTGCAGTCGAGGTTCATGGCTACTTTCTATTAGGGATCGGTCATTCAATTATAAAAACTAAGTATTTTTTGCGATTAAAATATTTAACTTTACAGTCTCGGGCGGTAAAACGTGTGTGGCAAGTTCAGTTCAGCTATTTCCCGTCGGCTTGTGTGTGGCACGGCGCACCCTGTAGTTGGGAGAATTGTTTAAAGGGGGCGGAGCATCGTAAAACACTTCATTCAAAGAATGAAGAAACAAAATTAAACTCACCAAAAACCCTCTTGGTCAGTCTTTCCACACTTTGGTCGAAATATATTTTTAATTAATCGAGATAGATTTAAAAATCAACATCTCTACATGCTGTCTGTCTGTCTCTCTCCCCACGGAGCAGCTGCGGGGGGGGGGCATCGAATAGTTCCCAGTGATTATAAAACAGTGTTTTAATGTTTAATCTCAGCACCAGATATTAATCTGATATTAGGATGTAAAGAATGATAGAATCACTGTAATTGAAAGCAGAAAGATAAGTCGCGTAGCACGAGCCATGTTGTGTGATTATTTACTCATTATTTTTCACCCACTAAACGGGCAAATCAATTAAAAGCTTTTATAATGACACAACCTTGCGAACAGTTAAAGCGACATGTTCAATTGACATTACTGTTTATAATATTTATAATAATTTTTGCTTATTCAAACTTGGCATGGCTTCATGCCGCCAAATGACTTCACAGTTTACCTCTAATGCCAATGGGAACGACTGCTAGTGATACAGTAAATAATGATGCGTACTGTAATGAGCAGGTTAGCAAAGGTTACAATACAAGAAAAAACAAATGTGTCTGGAAACTTTTTACCGTGTTTAGCTGTTGCAATCTGTCGAACGGCTGTCGTGTGTGTGTGTGTGTGTGTGTGTGTGTGTGTGTGTGTGTGTGTGTGAGTGTGTGAGTGAGTGAGTGAGTGAGTGAGAGAGAAAATATTCCCAACCCCTCCTCTGGCCTCAGCCCATGCTATCTTCTGTTCCAGAGATGGGGAAAAAGAAATGTTAGCACCTGACAGCCAGAGTGTTTTCTTTCTTGGCAGAATGTATAATTATTCAAATGAGTGCATTCCAAAGCAACACATTAGCTAAAAATAATTAGTCCCTTGCATATTTTAGCATCATCAATTCCCAAGGAAATCAGTGAGATTGCTGCTAAATGTCACTTTGAATGTAATGATGGCACAAGCATGGAAGGAAGGGGATTTCCATTTCTAACCATCATTCAATCTAATCATTTGCTTTATTAATGGGCCTTATATGTACTGTTTATTTAATTTGCTGTGCAGAGAACACGGGGCACTACGGGGGATGAAGTGGAGCGAGGCTATGCGTACTATGGAGTGCCAACGCTGTATGCTCCATGTGTAATTAAATGGAAAGAAAAAGTCACGTCATTGATTCTCAGCGGGAATGAGGAGTAGCCAAAAGGGTTGATACTAAGCCATTGCTAATGTGCCCTTTCCTAACCATGGATGCCTCCACAGTGACTGATTAGCAACTCTGTGTATCGCTCTCTATTGTTTAAAACCAAATCCCTACTTATTTCTCAATTTGTAAACCAGTTACAACATGGAATGACTTTATCAAATAGCCCCAGAGTGTGGGGGACACATGCAGATGCATAAACGCATTGTGTTGGGTACGTTCAGTCTGCTGCGTGTTTATTTATGTATGCATTTCCATTCTTAACACACATAACTAAACCAATTACACACGCTGACTGTGACGTCTCTCCTGCTCCGACACCTTCAGACAGACACTGATTTACATTTTCATCCCAAAAGCTCTTGTTCTTTAAATATTTTCAGATTGTTTGCCAAGGGGAACACAATCCAGTCAGTGAATCCAGTCAGTGAATATTTCAGTGTGTTTTGTAAAGCAACACATCTGCTGCTATTAATTGGTGCCTTGCATAAGTTTATTAGGGGAACGGTGCATCTGCGGAAACCACAGAGTCGCTGGAAATGTCAGATGTAATGGTGCCAATTTCTCTCCTCTGGCTCTGTTCTAAGATGGACAAATACACACACACACACACACACTAAGGTCCTTGTGTCTTTATTATACGTTTATTATCATGTATTTGTATAAGAGTGTAATTGTTTTAGATTTGACTTGTAAGCATTTCTAACTAATATAAACACAATGTTTAAGATGGATACTGTGCCTGTAATGTTGTCTATTGATTTCTGGTAACTGACTGGCCGGTTTGCTGGTCCCTATTCTTACGATACGCATACATGATCAAATCTGTCTGTACGTCTTTTCAGGTTTTTAAGAATCTGACACTGTTCCTGGAGAACAAAGGGCCTGGAGACGACCTCTTTGACCGCCTCAATGTAAGTGGCTCACTAACTACTAACAGTATTTTAAAACGATTCCATTCTTTCATTATTTGTGAAATCTGCCCAGAAATGATTACCTGTGTGTTTTTTTTTCTGGGGTTGTTTAATTAATAACTGACTAACTAATAAGTGAGACGCTCTCCTCAGGTGTGTAATATCTGATGTTTCTTTCTGTTTTCTGGCTACAGAAGGCTGCGGTAAAGGAAAAGCAGGGGCTAAATTGTAAGGTGTCAGGGATGAGATTGAATGAGCCAATGGTGTGGAGAGATGAAAGGGCTAAATTGAAGAGAAGGGGAAGAGTATTGGGAGCAGGGAGACTGAAAGCAGAAAAGCACTTTCAAAAGAGAGGAGGGGATGGACACTGGCAGATAAAAATGAAGCTGCACAAGTGGAAATTGAGAATGAACATGCTGGGCGGATGAATTTCAACACGTAAAAATGTGCCGTCCTCTCAGCGTCTTCCTCTCCCTGCAGGCAGCGAGGCCACACAGCATGCAGCAGTCGTACGCACGGTTAGTCCACCGCAGGGAGACGTGGGTCTCTTCAGGGGGCACTCTGTCCTTTTTAAAACAACATAATCTGTCTATTTGAGACTGTACCCAAGGCTAACAGATTATCCTGGTGGAGGACACGCATTCAGAATCGCTCAATATACAGGTTTCTTATAGACTGCAGCTCACAGCCTGGCAATCCTGGGTTAAGTGCTGTGATTGCTGAGGAATAACTTGTCTTGAGATACACTCCAGAGAGAGACGGGATTGTAGGTAGAAACGTATGCAACAGATGAACGGTCACTCTGGAGCAGAGGGGGTTAACGGAACAGAGTGAGAAAGAGATGCAGATGAGAAAGCACGAGGAAGGTTCGAGAGCCAGCCTCGTGTCTTATGTCTGAAGATTGACAGGTGGGAGAAGGAAGATGCAGGACGGGACAGGAACGAGAGGGTGAAGACGAGGAGATGGAGCAATTGAAGGAAGGAGTGCGGTGCCTCTGCTCTCTGCCCTCTAGTGTGTCAGGAAATGTCAGGGCGTGTTGGAGGTGGAATGGTAATGGCAGGCCTGATTGGCACCCGCAAAGGCCAGGCCACTGAGAGAGCGGAGGGAGAGAGGGTGGGTGGGTGTGGGGGAGTAGACGGAGCGATAGGAATGTGACAGCTGGACCAGGTGAGGGGAGGTTAGGAGGGAGACGGTGGAGGTGGAAGAGAGGGAGGAAAGATGGAGGGAGGGAGAAAGCAAATGATAGTCGACAACCAGGCAGCAGCTGTAAGGCCGAGATGAGGAGGACGACGATGTGGACATGGGAAGAATGATGGCGGGGTCTGTTGTCTCACTGTTACACCTTCACAGTGAAACAGACGTTGGAATGTCTTTTTTTTTTCTCAACAATGAGGCATATTTTGCTAGTTAAACAGAATATAGAATGAACAGGAACACGTAGAGACAGAGTCAGACTTTGGAAAATGTATTTTTCTGGCTCCGCACCGGCACCAGCTGTGGCCGGAGGCATTCTGTTTACCGGTGGTCCGTCCGGTCCATTCTCAGGAACGCCTTGAGCAAACATTTACACATTTGCCACAAACGTCCATTTGGACTCGAGGTTAGACTGATTTAGAATATGTTGCTCAAAAGTCCCAGTGACCTCACATAACGCTTTTTGGGTCATAACTTAAGAATTCATGTGCTAATTCTGACAATCATTCAAAAGCATTCAGTGTTGCAAACATTTCTGAGGTAGAGAGCAGGAGTCATCCTCAATGTTATATTAAAACATCTTTATCTGCTTTATTTGGCACCTTTACATTTGCCTCCACTCTTTTGCATCCCGTCTTCCCTTTAACAGGGAACTGATGCAGAGAACAGCCGGCGAAAAATGAGAAACACCCCATCATAGCTAGTTCAGCGCAGTAACCGTCAGTATTTGTCCCTGGCATTAGTCGACCGTCACCACACATTGTCTAGCAGTATGTTGATAAGAACATAGGGGA